TGTGAGTGCCTGTGTGAGTGTGTGTGTGTGCCTGTGTGTGTGTGCCTGTGTGAGTGTGTGTGTGTGAGTGTGCCTGTGTGTGTGTGCCTGTGTGTGTGTGTGTGAGTGTGAGTGTGTGAGTGTGTGTCTGTGTGCCTGTGTGAGTGTGTCTGTGTGCCTGTGTGAGTGTGTGTCTGTGTGCCTGTGTGCCTCTGTGAAGTGTGAGCGTGTGTACCTGTGTGAGCGTGTTTGCCTGCGTGAGTGTGAGCGTGTGTACCTGTGTGAGTGTGTGCCTGTGCGAGTGTGTGCCTGTGAGAGTGTTTGTCTGTGTGAGTGTGAACGTGTGTGCATGTGTGTGCGAGCGTGTGTGCGAGCATGTGTGAGTGTGTCTGTGAGTGTGCCTGTGTGAGTGTGTGCGAGTGTGCCTGTGTGATTGTGTGTGTGAGTGTGTGTGCCTGTGTGTGTGAGTGTGAGTGCCTGTGTGTGTGAGTGTGTGCCTGTGTGTGTGTGCCTGTGTGTGTGTGAGTGTGAGCCTGTGTATTTGTGCCTGTGTGTGTGCCTGTGTGCCTTGTGTGTGTGTGTGCCTGTGTGTGTGCCTGTGTGAGTGTGTGTACCTGTGTGAGCGTGTTTGCCTGTGTGAGTGTGTGCCTGTGCGAGTGTGTGCCTGTGCGTTTGTGCCTGTGAGAGTGTGTGTCTGTGTGAGTGTGAACGTGTGTGCATGTGTGTGCGAGCGTGTGTGCGAGTGAGTATGTGTGAGTGTGTCTGTGAGTGTGCCTGTGTGAGTGTGTGAGAGTGTGCCTGTGTGAGTGTGTGTGCGAGTGTGTGCCTGTGTGTGTGTGTGAGTGTGTGTGAGTGTGTGTGCGAGTGTGTGCCTGTGTGTGTGTGCCTGTGTGAGTGCGTGCCTGTGTGTGCGCCTGTGTGAGTGTGTGTGCGCCTGTGTGAGTGTGTGCGTCTGTGTGAGTGCGTGTGTGTGCGCATGTCTGTGTGAGTGCACGTCTGTGTGCGCGTGTCTGTGTGAGTGCATGTGTGCGCGTGTCTGTGTGAGTGCGTGTGTGCGCGTGTCTGTGTGAGTGCGTGTGTGTGCGCGTCTGTGTGAGTGCGTGTGTGCGCGTGTCTGTGTGAGTGCGTGTGTCTGTGTGAGTGTGTCTGTGTGCGCGCGTGTGTGTGTGCGAGCATGTGTGTGTGCATGTGTGAGTATGTGAGTGTGTGCGTGCCTGTGTGAGTGTGTGCCTGTGTGAGTGCGTGTCTGTGCGCGCGTCTGTGTGCGCGCGTGTCTGTGTGAGTATGTGTGAGTCTGTGAGTGTGTGCCTGTGTGAGTGTGTGCGCGTC